ACAGGAGGTATCCCTGGCATAAAAACTACTCTGTTGTGCAACTAATAGGTTCATTAGGCGTGGGAGCCATTTTGAGGTCGATGTAAGGGTATTTATTCATTTATTAGATAACTGTAATAATAGTCTCCTTAGGGTTGCCTCTATTAACTTACAGCAAGCTAGTATCTTATGAAACATGATTCAGAATTCACCCAGTTAAATGTGGAGTTTATTTTATGTGTCGATCTTGACCACCCCCTAGGATATTTTTAATTGTTAATTGATTTTAGTTGGGATGTTTTAAATTTATTGGGCCAAAATTTGTTTAATTCTTTTTTTAAAAAAATTAAATTTTGTATGTGATGTTTTTATTCTTGGCTGTTCACCACCCTGAGTCCAGTGGGAGAAAGGTGGTATAAAAATCTAATAAAATAAATAAATAAATAAATAAATAAGATATAGTTTTCCCACATTATATATAGAGTGAATTATACACATTCGAAATATGTATAATTATACTATTTGTAGTATAATAGTCCAGACCACAAGAGCAAGGATAGGATTCAGCAAAAAAAACCTAACAATAAATTGGAGCTGTCCTCTCAGATTGTTGATCCTAACCATTTATTATGGATAAAATCACCTATAAAAATAATGCAAAAAAGGCTGGGTATTTTTGTGCATATAAAGGCCAGCCTGAGGGAGGAGAGAAGGTGGGGAGGCAGAGAACCTTTCAGCATTTAGGAGGCAGTTTCATTTTATGTAACATTTTGCAGGTCAAATCACGTTCCGAAGGGTCTGTATCTTCACGGACTGCGTGATAACTGAGTTGGTATCTCACAATACCATACCTGATTATTCTTGTACAGGCAGCCCCAAACCGCTTGAAGATGTCTCAAGGCTTTGGGGACACCAAATTCTGGGCTCACAGGAAAGACGTCCAGGATCATCTCTGGACTGAGGCAACCAGTTCTATGTAGTTGAAGTAGCCTCCCCAGCAAAGTCCCACAGATGTTGAACAAGAGGGAGACAAATGGCTGTGCCTCAGCTAAGAGAAGCCCCATCCTGGAGAGGTGGAGCTGTTAAGATGCACCTCCGACATCTTTTACGTTCTCCAGCAAAAAAGGAAGGCCAACATACTGAAGGCTAATCCCAACCGCTAGAAATCTCAACAGGGCCACATTTGCCTTCCTGGGAAAGGCCATTCATCATAGGGCCAAAACCGTGTCTATGCAAAATGTGGTGTAAAATTAGTAGAAAGATTTGGGATAATCTATTTTATCCAAATGTTACTTGTGTTGTTGCACCACCATCTTCACCAGCTTGTCTAAATCTGGAATAGTGGAACACCAGTCGACAGTTGTTAACATTGATCGGATGGTAATGGCTTCTTAAATCATGTAAATACGTGATTAAATACGCCACAGGAGCCATATTCAAAGAAATGTTTCTTGTTATTTGCTAAAAACACGAGGAATCCGTTCTGTCCAGTATTCTCAGAGCTGGGCTTCCCCAAGGACCAACAACCTGTAAGGAGTTCAGCAGACACAGAAAGTCTTTAAAATCCAATCCATAAGTAAGTTGTCCATGGTAAACAAGTGAAACAAGGTACCTCCATTCAGACAGCATGATTTGCAAAACAAAGCACTAAATCAATATGAACATTGCACAAGGTGTGAGTCAAAGGTGGCTAGAGCTGAGCTCATAGTTACAGAAGCCATGAATTCAGAGAACCGCTCCAGGGGAGAAGATTCTCCAGAACTAGAAGTCTGACATCAATTCAGCGCATCAGCTCAGGCAGGAAGATGGTTAGTCAATGCATTGGCAGCCCCCAACACAAGCTCTAATTTGCTCCCGTCAACACCTGGGATTCAAAAGGATCCGGAGACAAGAAAAGCAGAAAGGGAATTAAGATTATGATGAATATGGCAACGTTGCCTCCCCAGACACCAAGTCCTTGTTTTCTCTTCTGATTCTCATTTCACATTGAACAGCAGAACAATTAGGGCTGATGTGTTGCCAACTGACCAACCAGGACCCCAATATTAGGTGTGAAAGTGGAGAGGAAGGTTGCACCCAGTCTGGTGACCCTGTTTCCTAATTCGAGGGGTGGGGGGGGCTGCATTCTTCAGCTGCTGTAAGGCCACGGGAGCTCCCGTCCTCTTATGCTCCTGGCCAAGGCAGAAGAACCTGTAACCCTTTCGCCTGGAGATGACAACCACCACCACGTAGCCTTTTCTGCGCAAAGAGCAGAGCCCTGGTTTCTCCACCAGGACACCCCACAGGCAGAAGCAAGCACCCTTCTTACACCTTGAGCCAGAGGGGTGTTTCTCGGGGCCCAATATAACTTAACTTTCAAATGCAATGCGGAAAATGCCTTTAAAGGTGACTTCTGGCTATCCTAGCTGTGGTCCCTTCTTCCCCGCTCTCCTTTTTAGAGTCCAGTTCATCGGGAGGATGTGGCCATGACTGGCTTCTGCACCTGGTGCTCCAGCATTCAGCAGAGAATCTGGTTGCCACAAGGACAAACGGACAGAAGACGGCTGTCTTCTCGCAGACACCAAAGCCTGTTTTTTGGGATCTGTGCATCTTTCAACTACTCAGCTTGGCTGCCCCCTTAGTGGCGGGGCTGGAAAAACAGCCGGCAAAGGAGGACAGCTCCTGCCTCAGGAAGGAGGGAGCCAAAGGCCCTTCCTATCTATCTCTATAAAAAATAACATTAATTGGCATGCTCTGCCATTTCCTGAACAACCCATAATTAGGTTAGATAAGAAACTAGCAGTGTCTAAGAGCTATAAATGTCTAAATTAAGTTATTTTGAAAGTGCCCAGCACTTTGGCATTTTGAGAGTTCACAGTAATTGCAGTATTGAGATAAAATTGCTCCTGTTATTTAAAAGGTCATTATCTTCTTCACTTAGATAGATGGAAACTATTTTCCACTCTAGTGAACCGTTGTGTTTGGGACAATTAGGCAGGCTCGAGTAGATTTCCACCAGCCTGACTCCCACTTATCACAGCTCAGGCCACGACACACAGAAATGTTTGTATAGAAGGAGGCGCAAAGTAGCCACTCTGTATTCTACTCACAGGCTGCCGCCGCCGCCGCCGCCACCACCACCACGTGACTGAGATTTCCAGACCGAGATGCTAAATAACCCTCGTGCAGCTGTTGAACGATGCAGGTCGGTGGGTGGCTGGCTGCTCAACCCTTGTCACCATCCAGAAGAAGAGCCAGGAAAGCAGGGACCAGTTGGCAGCTGTGCGCCTCCTGCTTCTCCATGGGGAGACGGAGTTGAGGGGGATCCCAAGGACATGGCTGTCTCAACAGGGCTCCACGGAGATCCAGCAAGAAGGCCCAGCCTTGGGCCCGTTGCAGAACTGAGTTAATGCAAGAACGCAGCTAGGAAGCCAGGACAAAGAGAGGATGCAACCTCCAGTGTCCCTGACCTCTGATGCAGAAGCCTTGCTGGAAGGCTGAGGGTCCAGCTGGACACCTGTCTGCAGATGTCTCATGGCCACAGCCGAAATCTGTACGAGGTGCCAGAGATTAAAACAAAACAAAAAATCCTAATATGATGCCTATCGGATTGTCACTTTAGGTGAGGCCACAGCGTGGTTTCTTTTCTGTGCCTCTCAGGTACCTGTGCAGAACGAGCCACCTTTGATTTTCCATACTGTGGAATATTGGAATGAACAGTTGTCACTCAACCTTCTTTGCTGACAAAGTCATTCGTTCATCTACAGGCTGCTCAGACCAGACTTTGTGAGCAAAGTTTTTCTTTAGCAATCACACAGCCTCTACCGAGAACATCCCGAGGAAACGCCCTGCATCAAGCCCTAAACGCAGGTGCAGCTGTCCCTGAGAGCTGAACTAGGTTTGGCTGGGCAGAGAAATTGAAATGTCAAGACCAAAGTACAGGTGACCCCAGAACCACGAGGGTGGGTTTCCCATCTCATCTTTCCCAAGAGCAATTCTGGCGCAATTCGGATTCTGCTTCTGGTCCAGGAGACGCGAGTCAACTCAGACCAGCTCATGGACAACCAGAGCAGCCACCCTGGTTGCTATTAGTCAGAGAAGAAAAACAGACCAAGTGGAAAACTTTAATTCCTACACAAACGGACACACACACACACACACACACAAACTCAGCAGGGTCTCAGTCAACATCTGTGGTTGTGTGGCATTAAAAAAAAAAAGAAAAGAATGGGAGGGACGAAAGAAACTGCCAGAAATTCAGAGCATATGACAGCCGTGGCCAGGGGGGCTTTCTATCATGTTCGCCTAATACGCCAGTTGCGCCCCTTTCTGGATTGGGACTCCTTATGCACGGTCACTCATGCCCTCATCACTTCCCGCCTGGACTACTGCAACGCTCTCTACATGGGGCTCCCCTTGAGAAGCACCTGGAGGCTCCAACTGGTGCAGAATGCAGCCGCGCAGGTGCTTATGGGGGCGACATGGCGCTCCCATGTGACACCTCTCCTGCGCGAGCTGCATTGGCTTCCAGTGGTCTTCCGGGTGCGCTTCAAGGTATTGGTTCTCATCTTCAAAGCGCTCTATGGCTTAGGGCCCGGTTATTTACGAGACCACCTTCTGCCACCGATAACCTCCCACCGGCCAATACGCTCCCACAGAGAGGGCCTCCTCAGGGTGCCGTCGGTCAGGCAATGTCGGCTGGCGACCCCCTGGGGAAGAGCCTTCTCTGTGGAGGCACCCGCCCTCTGGAATGAGCTACCCCCAGGGATACAACTGATCCCAGACCTCCAGACCTTCCGTCGGGCTCTGAAGACTTTTTTATTTCAGCAAGCCGGGCTGGGTTAAAAATCTTTAATTGGGGAATTTTATGGGTAAGGGGTTTTAAATTGGGGAAGCCAAAGATAAATTTAATTTTGTTTTTATAGTATTTTAATGTTTATATTGTATGTTTTTTAATTTTGGCTGTTCACCGCCCCGAGTCCTTCGGGAGAGGTATAAAAATTTTAAAAATAAAATAAAAAATAAAATAAAAAATTCAGATATCAGGATGAATCCTATGAAACTTTATCCTCCATTGCTAAAGTTTCAGGAAAGCCAAAATATTGAAAATAAATAACAACCAGCATATTACCTAACATTTAGGTAATACTAGTTGAAAGGTTTGCCGAACATTTTCGTAGATTAGTTTGTTCCTTAGTGCTGATGATGGCAGACTGAGGTTTTCCAAGATTGGAGAATTTTCGCCTCAGTCTTCATTCCTCTTTATAATCTGAGAAATCTCCCCACAGATCCCACTTTGGTCCCTTCTTAAACAGCCCGTGGGAATTTGCTATTTCAGCCTTGCAAGTCAACAGAGGAGAGACTTTGGGGCCAAATATTCCTGAAAATTTCTCCCATCTGCCCCATCTCAGTTAATCATTTCAGGTTCCGACAACTAAGGCGAGAGGGACCCATCCCATCCTTTGCTCAATGAAGGGCTCCGTTGGAAGGATATTTTGCTGGGATTTACATTTACATCTACTTCTTCCTTCTACTCCTCAACTGACCAACAGCAGACCTTCCCATCTTCATTGCCAGCCAGAAGCTTGGAATAATTCCTAGAGATAGAAGAAGAAGAAAAAGTTTTAGATTGAGAGCACTCCAATCACACCGAATGCTTCTGCCCAAAATAATTATTACAGTGGGAGGTGGATGTTATCCAGTGGTGAAATCCGACCGGATCTATCTGGCTTGTGCGAACCGGTAGCACCGGTGGCGGGAGGCTCCACCCACCCGCCGGGACGTCATTACATCCAGTTTTTGACCCTATGCACATGTGCAGAAGGCTCTGTGCACTCCCGTTTCTGAACCGGTAGCAAAGGTAAGTGGATTTCATTGTTGATGCTATCCATGACATTTTAAAGTCAGATCCATATTTGAAAACCCCTGGAAGAGCTTTAGAAGAAATACTAACAGAAATAACCTTTAGATTGTAATCTCTCTCCTCCTCAGGGTGACCCTCTGTTTTTCAATACTTCTCCTATATTCTGACTCTAATCCAGTCCAGCTGGAAAATACTTATTTGGTAAGAGGTTAACCAGAGATGCAGCTCAGAGGTGTAACCTTTCTGAAAGGATGAGGGACTCCGGACTTTATATGAGAGTATTGTGTTTGTATGCTGGTGTTTTTATGAGGTCTCATAATATCACACTTCGTTTGTGTTTCTTTGAAAGACTGAAACATATTTAGCCTTTTTCACCCTGACCATGATCAAGGACTTCCAAGCCACCAGGTTCACCTTTTGGGAGTTGTTTTGTTTTAGGATAATAGTTTACTTACATGTCTTTTTAAGAAGCAACTAGTAGGTTCAGATAATTTGGGGGCTGTGGCACCTTGAATGGAAACTGTACAATAGGATATGGTTGTGTTCTAAAGTGGTTCCCTTCAGGTCAACTACTTTATGCATTAATTTGGAGATCTGATTGATTTTGAAAAAGCTAAATAAGGCCAATTCTGTTTAGCATTTGCAAGGTTAACCAGTATAAATTTAGTTACAGGCTAGATTGGGAAAAGATAATGAAAAATTATAAACAGAGAAAATAAATACCAAGACAAAAGATTAGGCGTAAGCATACACATAAAGTAAAAAAACCAAACCCACAATATCTCAGGCTAAACATTATTTTCCTTAATATTGCAGAGATCACTGCTTCCAAAGCAGATTTCTCAGTCCCCTCCAGATCCCTTGGGATACCAGTCAGCTGATCCTAAGGCTGCTGTGAAGATGGAAGGACCTGGGTTTTTCTTCTCTGCCTTGGCTCCCAATGTCTGCCCTTGTTTCGAGAAGACCGCTCAGAAGAGAGATTTGGGCAAACTCCACAAAAAAGAAGAGAGATTTGGGCAAAGTGAAATTCAATGGAGAAAAAAGTAAGGCTCTACATTTAGGCAAGAAAAACAAAATGCACAAGTATAGTATATGTGATATCTTGCTCAATAGTAGTAACTGTGAGAGGGATCTTGGAGTCCTAGTGCACAACCATTTAAATATGATCCAACAGTGTGCAGCAGCTGCCAAAAAAGCCAACACAGTTCTAGGCTGCATAAACAGAGGGATAGACTCAAGATTTTCAAGAAAAATTTAAATATTAAATTAAATTAAAGATCACGTGAAGTGTTATAATGCCTTGGTAAGGCCACACTTGGAATGCTGCATTCAGTTTTGGTCGTCACAATGTAAAAAAGAGGTTGAGACTCTGGAACGAGTGCAGAGAAGAGCAAGAAAGATGACTAGGGGACTTGGAGGCTAAAACACATGAAGAACAGTTGCAGGAACTGGGTATGTCTAGTTTAAAGAAAAGAAGGACTAGGGGAGACATGATAGCAGTGTTCCAATATCTGAGGGGCTGCCCCAAAGAAGAGGGAGTCAAGCTATTCTCCAAAGCACCTGAGGGCAGGACAAGACGCAATGGGTGGAAACTGATTAAGGAGAGAAGCAACTTAGAATTAAGGAGAAATTAAGAGAATTAAGGAGAAAGGAGAAGTGCAACAACTTGCCTCCAGAAGTTGTGAATGTTCCAACACTGGAAGTTTTTAAGAAAATGTTGGATAACAATTTGTCTGAAGTGGTGTAGGGTTTCCTGCCTAGGCAGGGGGTTGGACTTGAAGGCCTCTAAAGTCCTTTCCAACTCTGCAGTTCTGTTCTGTTCTGTTCTGTTCTGTTCTGTTCTGTTCTGTTCTGTTCTATTCTATTCTATTCTATTCTATTCTATTCTATTCTATTCTATTCTATTCTATTCTATTCTATTCTATTCTATTCTATTCTATTCTATTCTAAATTCCTTGCTCCTAGAGTGCCCAGCCAAGTCCTCTCAGCAGATTGAGGCTCAAATTCCCTTGACTTCTAAGTCACTTTTTGTGAGATGGGTGGCCAAATAAATTTATTAAATAAATAAATAAAATGTGGGAGGTAGGCTTGCCTGCCGGTTTACTGCATTGGAAAGTTCAATCATCTTTTTTCTACTGCTACTAAAACCATCAGTTTGCTTTTCAGCTAAAATGGTACCAAAGTTTAAAGGCATCCTAGTCAGGATGAGTTTTATTTCACCCTGGATATCTTCTTGCTGCAAGAGGCAAAAGGAGGCACTGGGTGGCCATCCTGTTCTTCCCTAAGTTATTAACCAAAACTGCCCTGGGAGAATATGGGGCCATCGAACGGCTGTTATAGACCGTATCTGTAAAGGAAAACACCTTGTTAAAAAGATTTTGCAGGAGGGGCCCCGGGCTAATACCTGACTGCCTCCTTCCCATTTGCGACTGGCTGGGAAGACACACCAGCCACTTCCGCGCCGGAGCTGCTGAGGGTGTAGCTCGCGTGCCCCCTAGTGAGTTTACCAGGTACTGCAGTCCAAAGGCTTACCTGGAAACTGCCAGGGCTGTGACCGGCGAGGCGGGTCGGTGGGCTCCCTCTGGGGGGCTCGTGCGAAGCAGCAGCTCCCGCTGGAGGACAAACGCCGCTTTCTCCCCTCTGCTGCCTGCTGGCAGGATAGAAAGGAAACGTGAAATGGTGGGGATTTTCATTTTGGAGATGAGGTGCAGATGTTATTATTTATAATTCGTTAACCGGAGAACAAATATATTTAATCCCCGCCTCTATGACTGCCAGAAGGGCCGGTCCCAATTGAATTTTCGGCCTATGATAGTTACATGTGCTGACGTGTGGTTATATCAACTGTGGCTCAATTGGATTTGTGTATTATTGCTTTCTAAATTGCATGCCTAGTTCAGCAGAATTGTTCATCAGTGTTTCCTGTTTCAGTGCTTAATAAGATGTCGCTGAATACCTTGCGTTGCCCACTTAAAACAAGTTGCCTAAAGTCCTGGTTATTTTCAATGCATCTAAATCTGGTCCTTGTACAATCAGTAATTAAATGCCAAGAATACTGTGCAAATAATATAATTCAATCGTGGTTACTTCAGCTTTATTTTTAGTGCTCCTGTTTTGGATGAATTGTTCTTTCCAGTGTTGCAAAACTAACGGAGGAGTATCTGGCTGTTGCTGCTGCTGAAAATACCTCAAGAGCAAATTGTTTTGTGGGAACAGAGGCTGCTGGGATTGAAGTCTGCTTGCTATTCAAAGATGCATCGTGCCATCTTTGGATTGGGATCCCGGTAAGGATTTGTGGCCTTTGGAGTGATGCAAGGCAGAGTCCCAGCTGACGCAGCTCACCATCTGAACTGATACTTGCCTTCTGTAGATAATGTACAACTGAGGAAAGGAGGTTGTCTTATAAACAAGTGCTGAACCTGTGCCGTAAACATGAAGAGGAGGAACTGTCCATGAATCATGATTGATGGTTACGTGTCATTGAGTCGGTGGCAACTCTTGGCAATCACACAGATAATTTTTTCCCCATGACCATAAAAGTAATAATCTCCAATTGACCATATACTCATGCATGTGTTGTGTGTAAATTTGCCTTGCAAAGGGAGGGAAAATGCTTGCTAATATGTGTACAATAATCTCCCAAATAGGTATACGCATGCATGTCAAATATGTACAAATGCCCAAATCCAGCAGGCTGTTGCTCTGCTGGCCAGGCGTCTGTGGGGCCCTTGATTGAGGGGGGGTAAAGGCTGCTGCCTTTATCCCATGGAAGCCAATTCGAGTTCTGCCTTTCTCTTGGGAGGAACAGCCAAGGATGGAGTGGGCTAAAACTTTGCAGAGGGATCCCCCTGCTGGCCGTTTGCAGGCTGGCAGCCCTCTCTTTCTACGCTTCCCATGCCTGGTTTGTGTCCTTACCCTGCTGGGCTTGGCGCTTACCAGCCTTGGCCTCTCCCACCGGCTCCTCTCCCTGGCTCACAGGCGAGGCTGCTTCAAGCTTCCAGACCTGAAACATCCAGGAGAACCAGTCAAAAGTGGCGATTGGGGGGGAGGGGGCGAAAAGGAAGTGGGGGGGGAATCAGACGAAGTGGATTCCATAAACTTTAATAGATTACTCAGTTCTCAGACAAGAGTTTGTGAATTGTTTCAGCCGGGAGACCTCGGTGCTTCTGGCCTCTAGCTTTAAATACTGCGAGGTGGGAGAAAGGAAGGAAGGAGGAACGAGGAAAAGGGTTAAGTAAAAGCACCTGGGGCAGTGATGGCTAACCTTTTTGCCGTCACGTGCCGGGAGCGGGGGGGGGGGGTGCAGGTGCCCACATCCGTAATTCAATGCGCCCCGCCCTCCCGCGCATGCGCACGTGACCCCCCCCACACTTCCCCCTGCTTTTGGCACGCAATGGCACGGTGGGTCCAGTAGGCCCGTTTTTCCACCTCCCCAGGCTCCAAAGGCTTTCTAGGAGCCTGGGGAGGACAAAAACAGCCTTCCCCATCCCTCCGGAGGCCGGAAACAGCCAGTTTCCTGACTTCTGGTGGGACCGGAAGGCCTGAAATTTAGTTGGCCGGTGCGCGCATGCGCCCTGGAGATGAACTAGGGCAACACTCGCGTGCCCACCAATGTGGCTCAGCGTGCCACCTGTGGCACCCGTGCCATAGGTTCACCATCACGGACCTAGGGAATCCTCTAGCTTAGAGCCATTTGCTTAGCGACCGTTTGAACAGCATTGAAAAAAGGGATTTACAACTGGTCCTCACACTTATGACCATTGCACCATCCCCACGGCCACATAATGACAATTTAGATGCCTGTCATGTATTTATGACAGTTGCAGCCTCCCTGGGCCACCTTTGTGACCTTCCCAGCCGGCTTCCAGCAAGCAAAGTCAGTGGGGGAAGACGGACTCACTTAATGACTGAGTGATTCATTTTACAACTCCAGGGAATCACATAAGTACTATGGCAAAAAAATTGTAAAATCAGGCACAACTCACTTAACAGCCACCTCGCTTAGTAATAGATCCCAATTCTGGTTGTAAGTGAAGGACTGCCCATGCCCTGAAGATGGAGGACAGAGAAGGGTCCTAAAAGTAACCTCTTTTTTTTTTCTTGTTTGCGGCTTGGATTTCAAACTTCTGTAGCCCTCAGAGGAAGATCCCTATCGCTGCCTTCACACGTGTATTTAAAGGTAACAGTTCCGTAAAAGAAAACCGTCCCCTGGATTTCAGCCAGGCGCCCTGGGCTCAGCCGGAGGGGGCGGGGGGGGAGTCAGGCAGGGGCCTTTGCCTCCTTTCTTTAAAAACTCCTTCCTGATAAACCAAACACTTAAAATGCCTTCTTGGTTTTAACTAATTCAGTGCATTAGTAGAAGGAAATGCAAAGCAGGCTGAAAACATGCCGTTGTGTGGAGTTTCAAGTATAAAATATTGTATTCTCGTGAGTGGTTTTACTAAACACTGGATGTGGTCTATAAACGGCCGTTTAAGCCCCAGGCTTTATAGAGACTCCTTTGTAAGGCTAGAGCTCCCCAGCCGGCAATTGGAGAATGAGCCCCACCCAACCGATTGGAACTGGGGAGGTTCCCCCGAAAAACACGGCCTTGGTTGGCTGAAACCACTTTTTCCATGTCAAGCCTCAGTGGCACAGTGGTTAGAGTGCAGTACTGCAGACTACTTCTGCTGCCTACCAGCTGCCTGCAATTTGGCAGTTCAAGTCCCACCAGGCTCAAGCCTTCCATTCTTCTGAGGTGAGTAAAACGAGGACCCAAATTGTTGGGGGCAACATGCTGACTCTGTAAACAGCTTAGAGAGGGCTGGAAAACACTGTGAAGCGATATGTAAGTCTAAGTGCTATTGCTATTCCACCTCTGGGGAGAAGAGGTGGGTTGTGAAGGAGGAGGCTGTTTCATCTGTTCTTCGCCAACTATTTCCCCATGGAGGCAGTGTCTCCAGTTCATCTTTTGCTTCCAAACACCCACCCGCCTGCCTACCTACAGAAGAGAAGAGCGCCAGGGAAGAAGGTGTGCACCTCCGTCTGCACGAGGTGCCCTTGTCAAAACCTTCTGAGAACCTGCCCCTGCTGTAGCCCCACAGGCGGATTAATCTCTGCTCCTGGGACGTAACAGGGCGTTCCTGGAGGGGGGGGTGTTCTCCCTCTTGGAGAGTCCTACCTGCACGCAGCCATCTGTGTCTCCTGTGACAATGAGACTTTGCGCATCCCAGTCCTTCACTTCAAAGAAGCAGCAGCAGGAGAGCCTTCCTCCAGGTCTTAAGGGGGCCTTTTCTTTGGCCAGAGGCTGCCCGTTGACGGTCCAGAGGTACAGGGTCACTCCAGCGCACGAAGCCACCTCACCCTGCAAAACCATCCCAAGGGCAGTTCAGGCCTTTCCGTCGCACAAGTAAGGTCAGACAACCAGCATCGACCCATGGAAGAAAGCGGGCTTGGTCACACAGGAACAGCCCAGGCAGGTGACACGGAGGAGGAGAGATTGTCACAAAAGCAAAAACTCAAAATGAATTGAGTGATTGAACAAGGTCTGCCCAGTCTCTCCCACCTTCCCTTTTCAGGGAAGATGGTGGGAAATTGGGTGCATGGCTGCTTCAGAGGGTCCTGGATGAAATCCTGAGTCCCTTCCAGTCAGGATTCGGGCCCAGGTATGGGATAGAAACAGCCTTGCTGGCACCTGGCGAGAGTAGGATGGGGGGCAGCGCATCCATCCTCGCTCTCCTTGGCCTCTAAGCGGCCTTCAATGCTGTTGACTAGGGCATCCTTTGGGCAGGCTGGGGCTGGGCAGCAGAGTTTTGGGCTGGTTTGGCTCCTTTCTCCAAGGTCGGTCCCAGTCATTGTTGATAGGGAGTGTGAGGTGCGGTGGATGGATGGATGGATGGATGGATGGATGGATGGAAGGATGGATGGAAGGAAGAGTGGCCCAATTCTTCCCCTTTCTGCTCATTCCCAGCTCCAAACCCTCTTCCTCTGCTCTTCACCTGCTGTTTTGTCCACCCTAATTACTTCCCTGCAAGTACATTTCCCTGCTTCAACTCACACATTTCTTTGGGAGGTGTCTGCTGCTTTCCAGAAACTAGCAAGCTAGGAGAGGACTTTTGTCTCCCAAGATGAACCTGGATGATGCAGACAATGCAAGATAACCCTGGGTGGATTGGGGTGGGGAGGGGAGGGGAGAATCTTCTGCTATTTCACCAACTGGCATCCAACAACGCCATCTGGAGGGTTGCATGTAACCAAACACACCAGAGGGCAAACTCTCTTGAAAGCTGAAAGCTCTCAGAGATAACAGCCCTCCTCCTCCTCCTCCTCTGACTCAGAAATTGCTTTTAGTGCCCTCTTTCAACATTCAGGATCCTGTTAAAAACCTCGGTAAAAAGAAAAAAAATCAATCTGTCGCGCCTTGAGATGGTTTCTCACGGAGAAGAGCGCCCATTAAGTCATCATGAAATGTTCATGGATTTGTCAGAAGAATGATGATAAATGAAGGCCTTACCGTTGAATCATTGATGGCAACCGCCGAGAGGCCTGCCTCATGCGCAGGAAGCCGGGTGAGGCACGTCAACTGGTTCAGGTCCCAGAAGAGGCAGGATCCGTCCGCAGAGCCACTCACCAGGAGGCAGTAGGCCGTGGAGACTGCCAGGCAGGTCACCGGCTGCGTGTGTCCATACAGAGGCTGGGGAGCAAAGCAAGCAATGAGCACAAAACACACACACACACACACACACACACACACACACACGAGAGGGAAGTGGGAGTGAGTCCCAGGGCAGCCTTAGGCCTGCAGCCCCCCCCCCCACCTGCTCCCCAGTGCCTGGGGGTGGGGCTCAGTGGGAGGAGAGCTACTTGGAAAGGGGCAGAAGGCAGCCAGGCACCATCTCCTCCTCCTGCGAGGCCCTGGCATGAAGGTGACACAATGCCAAAAGGGCTTGAAATAAGACGCAGAGAATCAGGATTGCCCCTTCAATATTGGAGCAGCAGAACCTGAGCTTTGCAACCAAACTGGTTCTGGGGAATGTTAAAGCCATGCAGTTTTTTTTTTAAAAAAGAAAATAATTGAATAAGGAGGCCTGCTTTAGTACTACTGGCTTCTTTAAAGACATCAGTCAATGGTGAGAATGCAGAATTGAATGGACGTTGCTGCCTGCCTACTTCTGGCGTGGCTACGGTCGCAACTCCCGCTCACATTTGGCCTCCTCATCTCAGAAAGGATGTGACGACGCTGGGAAGCCGCAGAGGAGGGCGGCCCCTCTGGGCTACTTTGCAAGATGAAAAAGGTGGAAGGTAAAGCTACAACAGACGACACCTGTGCCAAAGGAAACAAGCACCGTTTGCTCTGTTTCTCACCACGCCTAATCCTTGGGGCAGCCAAGGAAGTCAAAGGGCAGGAAAATCAAGGCTGACTAAACTGGTGCCCAGGGAAAAGAAATCTGAGCAGTGAACCAGGTAGGAAGAGGATTTCCTGGATTCCTGGAGAATCTCCCCAACCTTAACTCTGGAGGCAGACCTTGGCCTGATTTACAATGTGTAGGGTCCCTTGGAAGAGAGGGGTAAAAATATTCTGATCCAGGAAGCCAAAACCATTTGCACTGCTGGGCATCTCTGGAATTTGGAGAATGGGCTGGGGGTGGCTCAAGGGAAGAACGGCTGGCAAAATAGCAAAACGGCTGCCACGGAGGACAGAACTCCTTCCCACCATTTATTACAATGCGACGAGTCCCTACAAGACCCTTCCTTCTATGCTCTGCCTGCCTTTGCCCCTTTTCTGGGCAGACAGTCCACTTCCAGACAGGGCACCGTGATGCCAGCAGCCATTATTTGTTTCTGGGGCTCATTTAAAGATGGCCAAGATCATGTAGAAATGGACCCTCTGCTTTAGGGCAAGCGAGCATCCTGTGTTTTAATATGTATAACCATTTCTAAAGAACGTCAAGAGGTCTGAGAAGAGCCACGAAAGGGTCTGCAACATCATGGGCGCTTCCAGGTGCCCTGCTGAGAAACCCAAATACAATTGAAAGCCCTCCAGAGCAGGGGTGAAATGCTAACGATTCACACTGGTTTGAGATAACTAGTAGCAGCAGCAGCGCGTGGTTCGGCGAACTGGTAGCGGCGGCAGCGCGAAGTTCCACCCATGACCCGGACATCATTACTTCCTGGTTTTAACCAGGAAGTAACCAGTTTTTGACCCTCTGCGCACGCGCTGAAGGCTTTGTGCATGCACAGAAGGTCCAAAATTGAATGTGATGCATGCACGCGGAGCGCACACTTCCAAACCAGTAGGGAAGGTAAGTAGATTTCACCCCTGATCCAGAGTCACATAAAAGGGAGAGGAGGGGCCATATAAGTCAGATGGATGAAGTAAAATACCTCTCCCTGATGCACAAAGACTCCCGGTTTGCATAATGCCCACCCCTCCTTAGTTTTGACACCATCCTTCATCCAGCGAGGGGCAACTTCTGCACTGACTGGTGGATGTAGAAAGTCCAAGGAAATCTTCTTTGGCAACTGCTGAAGGCCGACCAGGGACAATTGAATGGCCTCCAGAGAGCCTTCTGGAAGCGCAGCAGCAGCCACTGTTCCAGGGCACCTGGGAAATGGTTCCCCCCTGGTTGAAGCACACCTGGACTGGGCTGGCAAGCCAGCCTTGCCCTCTTGGCCCCTCTGCAAGCAAGAAGGCTCCCAGCCTCATGGATTGGGGCCAGAGGGATTGCGGGAAGGCTGCTTCCCTCCCTATCTTTGGTGGCTGCTGGGGACGGGGGCTCGCCTGTCCTCTTTCCTCTCCCACGTGGCCATGCCATTGTCATGCCTTGCCTTGACAATTCAATAAATAAGATCAGGAGCTGCAGTCCAGTACAGCCGTTCAAGGGCATCAAAGGGGGATTAGGTAGTTTCATGAAAGAAAAGGCTGTTAATGGCCAGATAGTCATGAAGGTTATATGCATTTATTTCAAAGTTCATTCTTCAGATCAATAGATCTCAGGGTAATCAAATACAATTAGTACAAGCTATAAAGCATGCATATACACGGACCCATCATGCTATTTCCTTTCAGAATGAGTGATATTATATAAAGATAAGCAAAATTAAGGCAAAAGACAAGTTAAGGTAATCTAACCAAATATACTGTAGTTTACATTAACTACCCCACTCCACATCTGTTTTAACTGTATAACTGTTTTAACAAACAGTCATATTCTATCATTTATTCTTCTTCTACATCTTATCAAGTCCATTTAACCAATTCATCCTTTCTTGTTTTTTTAATAGTTGGATCATTCAATCGCTCTATATGACCCAAATACTTCAGTACCCACGAATCAAGGGTGAAATGCTTCTGGTTTGCTCCTGTTCGGGCGAATCAGTAGCAAGGAAAACTACCAGTTCAGGCGAACTGGTAGTATAAAAAAGCTACCAGTTTAGTCGAACCGGTAGTTAAAAAAAGCTATGATCCGATGATCATCTATGCCGCGTGGTTTAGCTTTGCTAGAAAGCAGGCTTTCCTGCTTTCTAGCAAAGCTAAACTGTGTGCAACAGCTGATTCCCCCCCCCTCACTGTTCTACTTAACTTCCCAAACCTCCTTTTGGTGCGTACTGCGCATGCTAACTATTGGTTCGCCTGAACCGGTAGCTTTTTAAACACGCAGCACGCATTTGATGTGTAGCATGCATGTGTGGCCAGCAAACCGGTTTAGATTTCACCCCACCACGAATCCTCCATTCGATCAACATTCATCACTTGTTAATGTTTCTCCTCTTCTCTTTTTCTATACACACCTCTGAAGCACACATTCCCACTGCCTCCTCTACACCAATTTTGTTTCTGCTGACATTCTCAACTGTCTCCTTCACATGACAAAGAGCTCCCTCAGACAGCATTTTTTCATAATTTTAAGAAACGTTAAATCTTTGCAACAGATCAATATTACAGCCCACGTACCGTTTCTATTAGAATTTACATATCTTAAAATTCTTCCATTTTCCACTTCTTTCCAAAGTATGTAAATTCATCAAGCTGCTTCTATCTATCTATCTATCTATCTATCTATCTATCTATCTATCTATCCATCCATCCATCCATCCATATATCACCCATCCATCCATCCATCCATCCATTATCTATCATCTATCTAGCTATCCACCTATCTATCTATCTAGCATCTACAGATTTCATTTTATATATAAATCATTTTATAAATAAATAAAATAAATAAATAAATAATTTTATTTCTATACCGCCCTTCTCCCGAAGGACTCAGGGCGGTGTACAGCCTATTTAAAAACACAAAAAACACGACAACAATTTAAAATTTAAAATCATTAAATAATTAGGCTCCAATTAAAATCCCAGAAATTTAAAATACCCCAATTTAAAACGTTATGTTAATAGCCCTGCCTGGCGGAACAACAGGGTCTTCAGAGCGCAGCGAAACACCCGGAGGTCGGAAATCTTTCGTATTTCGGGGGGCAGTTCATTCCACAGGGCTGGGGCTCCCACAGAGAAGGCCCTCCCCCTGGGTGTTGCCAGCCGACATAACTTGGCTGATGGCACCCGGAGGAGACCCTCTCTGTGGGAGCGGACTGGTTATATGCTACCTATTTGGCTTTTTTCCACAATGATGCATAATCTTCTTTCCTAAAGCAACTTACACGTACAAAGCCTGAAACCTACCTCACACAATTGCCTTCATATTGGCCACTCCACTAAACTGGTTTTTTGTTACCTCACCAGCATCATCTTCATAATAGACCACATAAATCCATGATGGTTAGTGTGCAGAAGATATCAAAACTAGGGTTGCCAGGTCTGCTTCCAAAAAATAGCGGACAAGCGAGGGGGTAGGGGGGTGGGGTTAAGTAGTAAAAAAATTTTTTTTTCTACAATTAAATTATATATTTTCTTACAAATATTTTAACACATATTAAAATAATCACTTCAAAACTTTACTTAAAATTCAAAATATCAAATATAATAATATGTAAAATATTAAATTACATTTTACTTTGCTGTCGTGTGTATTTTTTATTTGACTGCGCAGCTTTGATCAATTCTTTGTGTTTAAGGAATAATTCTTTAATTTCAGTACAACGTTGAAAAATATTAAAAAATATACAAAGTTCACTTCGAACTGATGGTACAAGCAGTCGGTTACGTTCATCAGTCCACAAATTTCCCATGACGCTGAAAATTCATTCAACGTTCGTATTTGATACTAGAATTGATGCACAATACTGGAACAGTTTCAGTAAACTCGGAGCTAGCTCTTTCTTGAAAAAGTACGTCCACTTATCAAGGGATGAATCGCCCTACAGATGAACATAAACTTCTTCTAAGGCAGAAATTTCATCGAAGAGAGTGTTGGGTGGAAGTTCTTCTCGCCATGGTGATAATAACCAGATGTTCATCATTTCTTCTAAAGTTGGAGGATTATTGCGATCAATTAGATTGAAACAATTTAGCATCTCATATACTGAATCGGTGAAATTATACCACTTTTCTAGGTACGCAATGGCTCTTTGATACACGTTGATGGCTTCTTTCTTGAACTTTTGCACGGCATTCTCAGGCAAATGTTTTTTACGTAAGGCAAATAAAACTTTCATTCCAAAAAACTGCTCATCGTATTTTTTTTGCAAAGAATCACGCAGCTTACACATGATAATGTGAAGATCACATGCAAGAATTTTCTTGCTTTCCAGCTTCAGTAGGGTATCTTGCATTATTGACATGAAGAAGTGCGTGAAATATAAATACAATTCTGAAATTGTCCTTTGCGAGTTCATTTTCCTGATCTGAAATAAGGTTCCAGATAACCTTATGGCACTCATCAGATCCAAGAGAAATAAAATACGATTTTAGAGATATCCAGTTTAAAAGAAGTCTTTCGACCGCTTTAAACAAACTTAACCAACGTGTTGGAACATGGCGCAAAACTTCATGGAATTCGGACTCGCAAAACTTACGTACCATTTCATCATAAAGCTTTTGAATAAAAAAAATGTCCACTATTTTGTGAAAAAAAATAGTGAACATAATGTGAAAAAAGTGGACTATCCGCTCAAATAGTGGACACCTGGCAACCCTAATCAAAACTAATCAAGTTGGCGAAACATCTAGTGCCTGCATTTATGCATTAAGTTTGCTTAATGTTAACCTTTAACTAATTGTACTATTTATTGTATTATGACCCTCAAAATGAGCTAATTGATTAATTGGGTAAAGCAGTTCTTTTATCTTTTTCTCAAGGGGACTAATAGTTAAGTAAACCCTGTTCCTAAATCAGAGCTAATCCTGCTAATTTTTCTCTGTTCTCCACCAATTTTTCTTCCTTTTCATTCCTGGTAAGGAAGAAGACCAATCTCTTTATGTTGCGTCACCTGCAAAGTCATGGAATCAATCATTAACCAATCTATTACCTCCATCTAGAGACAAATAACCTACTTTCTAACAAACAGCTTGGTTTCAGAAAAAAATTATCCTGTAATCTACAATTACTACATTGCAAAAACATATGGACTACACATCTCAATTAGGGCAAAGCAATAGATGCAGTTTACATAGACTTCTGTAAAGCTTCAGTGGTACATGACAAATTACTTCTAAAACTAAAATCCTATGGCATTTCTGCTATCCATTTCCTACATAAACGGATAGCTGCCTTCCTGTCAAACAGACAACAAGTGGTCAAAATAGGAAGCACTCTATCAAATCCTGTACATGTTAATAGCGGTGTTCCCCAAGGCAGTGTTTTAGGTCCAACACTCTTCATACTTTACATGAATGACCTTTGCGATCATATTAAAAGCAACTGTGTTCTCTTTGCTGATGATGTTAAACTATTCAACACCACCAACAATGCAACTACCCTTCAAAAAGACCTTGACTATGTGTCAGATTGGTCTAACAAGTGGCAACTTCAAATCTCAACCAACAAATGCTCTGTCTTGCACATTGGCAAAAAAAATCAAAACGTAAAATACAAATTAGATGGACATGACCTTGTAGATGACCCCCACTCTATCAAGGAACTTGGAGTACTCATTTCTAAAGATCTAAGTGCCAGAGCCCACTGTAACAACATTGCCAAAAAGGCATAAAGAGTTGTTAACCTAATCTTGCGTAGCTTCTTCTCTGGTAATATTGTACTACTAACTAGAGCATACAAAATATTTGCTGGACCAATTCTTGAATATAGCTCATCTGTCTGGAACCCACACTGCATATCGGACATTAATACAATTGAGCAAGTCCAGAGATATTTCACGAGAAGAGTCCTCCATTCCTCTATCTCCAATAGAATACCTTATGCCACCAGACTTGAAATTTTGGGCTTAGACAACTTAGAACTACGCCGACTTCAGTGCAGCTGGCGCTCGAGTCAGACAGTGAGGAGACTGGAGAAGATGTGGTGCCAGAGGCAGGGATTCAGCCAGGGCCTTCAGAACCTCCAGAAGCTCCTTTAAGTGAAGAGGACGAAGAGGAGGAGCCTCTTCTCAATGCACGGGTGCGCAGAGCTGCCAAAAGGCAGGAGTGGCTCCTCAGGAGGAGGTCTCCTCGAGAGTAAGGCTTGGGGCTAATTGGCCACTCCCTTAGCCTATTTAAGGAAGAACGCCGCTTGCAGCAAGCTGTAGGGAACAACTTTAGTTCAATCTCCTTCGCGTCTGGATTCTCTGCAAAATTGTTTCTGGGCTTTCTGCCAACTCTAGTAAGACTGTGATTACCTTATCTTAGAATTCTGGTAGGCTGTTAAGACAGTTTATTAACAGCCTTTGGTTGATAAAGACTGAGTTATTTGAGTAAAATAAGCTTTGTATAGAGTTTGTGTGTGCTGTGTTCTTTGGGGTCCGTAGCTGAGGCAGAACAATGCTTGACAAATAAACTTATGATTATGATTATGAAGAGTTTAAGCCCTTAATGGAATATAGCAAAGAAAAGTGTGAAAGGTTGTTTTTGATATGCATACCTGGGGGTGGGGGGTGGGGGGAGATGAGAAAGAGGAATAAGGAGGACTCGGAGGGAGAAGAAGTCGTCCTCTGATTCCTGCTAATCCTCTGCAGGTGTTGCCCCAAATTGTTACCCCAGCATCTCCATTCAATTTCAGAAGAGGAATTGGGGCAACCCACCTGTTTCAGACGTAAGGCCGTGGCTCCCGTTGTGGCCCTGCAGAGGTCCCAGACACAGACAACGCAGCTGCTTCCAGACGTGATGAGGCTGCTGGGTGTGGGAGACACAGCACAGAGGCAGTCACCCCAGTCAGCCGGAGCCTCCAGGACGGTCATCTTCTGCATGCACCCAAGGCAGGAGAGAAGCAGAGAGGAGGGCAAGGGAAGAGGTGGAGTGAAATGGATGCAACACTTCCACAACTGCAACACTTCCATGCACGCATGGAATGTACTTATATGCGTATGTATTTATGTGGAATTTTAATTGAGTTAAACGTTTAAGAATTAAAACACACTTTTGTGTGTTTTAATAAAATAGGCTTTTAAAAAAATACAAAAAAGTTGAAAAGCAAATATGAATTCTGAAAGTGTTTAATACTGTTCTTTTGCCAGTTTTTCTGTAAAATGCGGTCTATCAATTATTTTTGAATATAAAGTCTGTATCTTCCTCCTGCAGCCTCCACTGATACTGGCTTCTTTGTCCAAGTCACAAACACTAGTGAAAGACCAACAATCAATTTATAATATCAAAATACTAGTGAATTCATAATAATGAGTATATTCCTTTCAAAATATACCCAGAACATTTCATATTGCTTATTAACCTGAAAAATGCATCTTATCTGCTCTACACTGCTGAAAGAGGGAAGGAGATTTTTCACTTGTTGTAACTTGTCTTCATTTCAGCATTTCACGCCAACTTCTCTTTTTAAATAACCTGATTGGCTTCCTGGTCACCTGGCTTCTGGCCCACAGGAGAACCATCCACACAGTGACCGGTGTCCCTCCCTGACTGGCCACCTGTCTCGGCTCTGGTGGGCGGCAGTAGCTTGTTAGGCACAGGCAATCCTGTCTCCGCTGAACAGAGCATTGCTCGGAAGGAGCAAACAGGAAGAGGAAACGGTGCTGGGTGGGGCAAAGACAGGCAGGGCTGCAGAGACCCTCCACGTTGAGATAAGCGGAAGCACAAATAAAAACAATGCTGCCGAATCCTTCCAAAGGTAAACAGCAGGTCTTTCAACGAGGTATGAAATCAAAGTCACAGGAAATTTTAATTACTGTGACATCTGACAAATTCTAACAAAGCATGAAGTCCTTTCAGGAAATTTCTGACTTCATTTAATGATACATTTCAGAGGGCAAGGAAGTCAGGGAACGATCAGCAATCCTTTGTATCAACCAAGATTTAGTTCAGGAAGTGGGAGAAGAAATAACATGGGTGGAAAGAGAGTGCGGCACCCCAAAATTTTATGGGAAGCTCAAGCCGAATGTCGTCAAATACATATTTTTATTATATAGATGTTAATACAGTCAGAACAGTGACAGACGGGACTCTCTGGCAGGAAAAGCTAATGAGGAAAGGAGCTGCTTACTCTGCCCTTTGTCCCACACAATTCCACCAATCAAATTGTGGCTGTAATTTTTGCACATTTTTTAAAATACTAACTGACATTACTCATCTTTGTTTTGCACACGAGGAGAAAGGATGCTGCAGAAAGTGAACGACATGGTCTCCTATATATAATATATTCAGGTACAAAGAGATTCAGATTGAAGTTATTATTACTTTTAACTATGTCTTGCCTTTCTGTCCAATATAAGTTGCAGACATATATATTGATGATTTTGTTCAAGAACTTTTGGTGCATTTGCTAAGTTCTCCAGACCTTTCCATCTGTGGATGGACCTACCTAAGGCATGCCATGCTCCCTCTGGCAAAAGAGGAAACGGTGAAATGCACCCACGGAGGGATTGGCCTATTCATTCGCTGAGTGCCCAACAGGTGGCAATCTGTAGTTCGTGATTACCTTGTCTGATCCAGAATCAGTCAGACAGCAGGTGAAGTCACTGAATCCCCAGCAAAAGGTTTTATTCCATAGCGGAGGAAGCAAAATACTTTTCTTCTCCACAGCCAAAATCCCCTTTTCTGTGCATACAATATGACCAACAGGCCCATGTGGTGCCTCTACAGAAAAGAAAGAAAACAACTTTAAAACACATTTTAAAGGGGGAAAAAATCTGCTACTTGAATTTGTCCCAGGAAGTTTTGTGCCATCCAATGTCTAGAATTTTCTTTCTCCCCCGATTCCCCTCTTAGAGTTGCCAAGGCTTAGAAACTGCTCTAAATACCAACCCCCCCCCAAAAAAAACCAAAAAAACAAACAAACTAGAAGTTATAAGGTTCTTTGCACACTGTTTAGCCGGTCTATACCTTTGGGAATGACTGATGACAGTTTCAGATGATACAGATTACTGACAGAGAGCGCCGGAGAAGGAAAGAGGAAGCTGTTTTTCCCCACTGAATGTTTCCTCAGGCTCCCAGCATTTCTGGAGGGATGTGGTTTCGTAAAAAGCTGAGAATGAAAAAGAACCATAAACAAATAAATTACAGCAAATCAATCAATCCTGTAAAGTAACATACACAGGCCCCAGGAGCTCCACTGCATATTTTTAAAATATTTCTTTTACAAATTACCTTTTACTTCTCAATGCAAAGCAGTTATGGTAGCAAACAAAAACCTCTGAAAAAATTACAGTAAGCACAGTATTAACACAGTAAAGCAGAAATTAAAACTCTAAATGCCTAAAAGAGTAAAATTATATTGTGTCACAGGGAGGGAACACCATGTTTCAATCGCTGATGGGAAACGGTGGGCGATCCTTGCTTTCCTTCAGAAAGGTCAGCAAGGAGGAGAGCGACAAGTGGCATTTATCAGAGGGGCCAAGACAGAGGAGAATAAAGAACAGAAAGACCCCGAACGCTGGTCAAGCACAGAGCAGAGAATTACTCACGATTTGGTCTGAGAATAGCCTGGCATGAAACACACACACACACACACACACACACACACACACACACACACACGCTGCTTCCCTCCCACCTTCGTTTTGTTCAGCTGAGCTTTTGGGGGTGGCGAGCACCGTGCATTGATACGCCGCAACTCTGCCTTTGCCTTTGGCAAAATGCTCCTGATGCCAGTGCTTTAGATGGCAAAGTGGACGCTGCTCAGTGCCAGTAGAGAGAACCGACTCCTTAGCAGATAATCTGGGGTCGTTTGCTTGGAGAAATGCACGAATGGTTTGGAGGCTAGTAATGCATTCTTGGCTTTCTGGGTCGCTACCCATCCTCCTTGCCAAAGTTATCCAGAATGAATCAGTCTTTAATGATAACATATGTTGGAAGGATGAAGCCCCTTCCGCTCTCCAGGAGAAAACCATGCGACTGAAGGAGTTAGACTAGGATAATTCTCAACCAAATGTCCCCTTTTAAGGGGCCCCTGAGGGAGAGCAGTGGCTCTTCAACACCCGGGAGCTTCCAAGAAGCGGTGCAGAGGATGCCACCAGAAGAGAAGCTCCTGGGGAAGTCACTCTGTTGCAGGGGTGGTATTCAGCCGGTTCTATCTGCTTCGGGCGAACCGGTAGCGGTGGCTGCAGGAGGCCCCACCCACCTGCCTGGACGTCATCACGTCCCGTTTTTTACACTCTGTGTGTGTGCAGAAAGTCCTGCGTGTGCACGGAGGTGGCACGTGTGAGCGGAGCAAATGTGTGCACCTGCTCACATTTGCGAACCAGTAGTGAAGGTAAGTGAATACCACCCCTGCTCTGTTGGTGTGTTCCTGAAAAGTGCCAGAAACTTTTCTGAAAGGAGACGGTTTCTGAAAAGTGCCTAAACCCACAACTGCAAAGTGTTCTCCACAGGAGCAGCCCACGTGGCCGTAGGAGACCCGAGTGAAGGGTTGGAACCAGGAGATTCCTGCCTGCTTCTATGATATCTCTTGTTCTGCCAACCCTCAATGCCTAGACATTTCCCCACACAGGAATTCCTCCTCATTAAATAGAGAGTTACAGAGCGAGATGTAAACATTTGCATGGAAACCCGTTTATAAACTTGGAAGGAGAAAAGATTGAAGTCCAATGACTGAGCTAAGCAATCAAACAATAGCACCTAACAAACTTGATTACTGATTAGGTGAAGAAAAGATGATATATGATTTCCAAGTTATTGAAACAAAACAAAATCTATTAAAATGGTGTTAAACTTACAGAGATTATCAGAAAAGTTAGCACATAGATGCAGACAAAGACGGGATCTGCACCAGTGGTGGGATTCTACCGGTTCTAGGCGGTTCGGCCGAACCGTTTGTTAAATTGCTGGCTCACCCCGCCCCTTGCCCCGCCCCTCCGTACCACTGGGCGAGGGGTGGGCAAGCCAGCAATTTAACAAATGATTCGGTGTTTTTTTATAATTTTATTGGCCTTGCAGCTGCCGCGGGGCTTCAAAGGGCCGCCCTACAGCTGATCAGTGTTAAAAGAAAACAAATGAGTAGACCGACACTTGCAAAAATAAATGGGTAGACCCAGTGGTGAGATTCTACTTCGGTAGAACCGGTTGCTAAGTAGTTAAGTAGTTAAGCCAGTGGTTGCCAAAGTGGGCGGTACCGCCCCCTGGGGGGCGGTGGAATGCCTTAGGGAGCGGTAAGACGCAAGGGGGGCGGCAGGGGGGGCTAAGTGGCAAGGAGGGTGGCCCCCACCCTTTGGCCTGTGCCTCGCAGCACTTACTTCCTTGCAAGCAAACAGCAAGAAAAAACAGTCCCTTCAACTTCAGTATTGATTAATTAGCACAAGTTGATTAGATCGGCCTCCTCTCAGCTGATTTGCTCTCAGCTGTTTTGCCAGGGCTCTGTTGTTATCAGCAAAGAGTGCGGAGCAGATTTTTTTCCCCCTAGCCTAGCTATGCTGAAAAAGCGAAACTGAAAGTAAAGCAGGGTCTTTGCTGCAATGTGACAAAATGAGGCAGAGAGGGATTTCTTTTTCTTTTTCTTCACCAAAAAAGGTAGGTGCAAAACTGCAAACAATGGGAAATTTAGGGTGAAATAGGAGAGTTCAAGATTTTAAAACACAAAAGAAAAAAAGCTCTATTTAACTAGGGAATTGTAATAATTGAGATGCTATTAATTGTATATTGTGTTGAAAGCAGAAATGGTTAAGTTGTGGTTTGGAGGAATATATGGGGGAAATTATTCGGTTTATTATTATTGGTAAATATAATTAATTGATTTGTAAGAAATTGGATTGCATGGAAATAATTGGAATATTCATGTTCATATTGATTAATATACAAAAAAGATAGTTGTATAACTAATTGATTTATATTAAAATGTTGAATTTGTATTAAACAACTGTAATATTACATAATTAACCAATGTGAGGATGGATATAAAAATAGATGACAATGGGAAGGGGTATAATATAGAATAGAAGGGAAAAATTGAATTTGATTAAGATTAGAGATGAGGATGAAGGGTAATAATGGTTTTTTTAAAAAATAGATGAGGAATAAATATGACAAAAAGGAAATATAGAAATTGTAAATTTAACTGAACTGACTAAACACTGTTTAAATTTGTGAACCGGCCAAATACTCTGTTCAAAGAAAATACATTGTATGTTTGTATGTGTGTTTTTAATTATTGCTATTTATTCATATTTGTTCTCTTTTATTCTTTAAAGTTTAACAATTCATTCTTTATCTTAATATCTTTATATTTGTTTGGGGTTGGCTTTCTTCCCTTTCATCTTTTTTATTGTACAGCAATCTTTCTCCTCAAACCTACCACCTCTATCTTTTCTTTCCTTCTTACTTTCTCTTCCCCCCCTCTTCTTCTCCTCCCTACTTCCTCTTCCTTTCTCCTTCTCCTCCTGTCTTCCTCCCTCTCTTACCTTCACTCCTACTCTAATTTCCCTTCCCTTCCTTCATCCCTCTCTATTGCTGTATCCTTTTATGCATATGGACTACTCAGAGGGCTGAAAAAGTTATTTTTGACTGGTCGTCACACTTTTGACCAGTCCTCGAACTTACGACTGTCCTCACATTTTATGTTTTTCGCCCTATCTTGTCACCATGGTGAAGAGAAGCAGTTGTGAAATGAGTGACACGGTTGTTAAGAATGCCGCAACAGGCATAAATGTGAGGATGGCCATAAGTGCGAGGACCGGTCAAAAGTGCGAGGACCAGTCAGAAATGACTTTTTTCAGCCCTCTGAGTAGTCCCTATGCAGATAGCTATGCCCACCCGGTCACATGACCAGCTAGCCACGCCCACCCAGTCACATGACCAGCTAGCCACGCCTGCCCGGTCACATGACCACCAAGCCACACCCCCAACTAAGCCATGCCCACAGAACCGGTTGTTAAAAAAATTGAATCCCACCACTGATCTGCACCCTGGCTTGTATCATCTTCTAGAGTCATCAAACCATCATTGGATGAATTAATATTGTATTTACTTTACTTTATTGATTAGCCTTTGGGCCATATAATTAATATTATATTAATGATGATAGGTTTTATATTGCTTCAGTGGTGGCTGGGTGATGCTTGAAAACAAACTTTCTCAAACCAACTTTCTTTTGGCAATCAGGTTACTTTTCCAAGAAATCCCATAATAACAATGCACCTCAACATGAGATCAAAGTAATCCCATTCCTTGTTAGCTCTACATTCACGGTCGCTTGAGGGCACCCGGGCCATTGTTTGCGTCGTACCTGCTTTGGGATCTGTCCGAAATTGCTGACAAATCCCAGGATGGTGCTCTTGATGAGAGGGTCGTCAATGGTGCCCATTTGTACTTGATCGCTGTAGAAATAGGGGTGGAAGGTATTCACGGCCTTCACTGCGGCTGAGCCCTGCTGCTTGAAGCCGAAGATGAGGTCAATCCAGTGGTGGAGGCAGCTGCTGACGAAATCGCTCTCCAGGGCCTAAAACCCAAGCACACCCATTCAGTCACCCGGGCGGCAAGAAGGCATCCTGTCCCTTCTTGCAAGGGGTGGTGGGAGGGGGAGGGGGCTAAGCAAGGGGGCCCCTCAGGAAGTCTACAGGCCTGGTGATCACCAATGGTCTCTGGTATAATTTCCACTACAAAATGTAAAGGCTACGAGTAATGGCTGCAAAAAGGGAATCCTGTTTCTTTTCAGAGATTTCTCCTTATCTTTATTTTAGACTAAAACAAATAATTTAAGAATATTAGACTTTTATCTCTGACTCGTGGTCCTGACTCCAGCACTGCCAGCGTTCCAAACTGCGTTTTCATACAGACCTGCCTGTGCAGCCTAATGAATCGATGAGGATTTCCTCCTGCCCAAGGTGGCAAATCCACGTCATTCAGCCGGGTCCCATCCTGCAAGCATCCTGCAAGGGACGGAGGAGAAGACATTGGTGGTATAAAAGAATTGACACAAAGAAGCTTTCCTCCATCTGAGATCAAATAAAAATACCTATAAAGGGGCGTAAGGGTATAGATTAAGTTTATTAAGCCCTCATCAGAGGACAACTAGGATTTGGTGGCAGAAGCTGCTGGCAGCAAGTAAAACATCTGGAAGGCAACAGTGGAGGACCAAGATCCTTAGTGATCATCCCAGGTCCAAAACTTCTGATGTGGGCTTTAAGTGGGTTTAGCTGCTGAGTTGATCATCACTGTGATCTGTCCAGTTTTTGTCTAGGCAGAATCTGTCGATGAGGAAAAACAGATTTAGCCATGGACAAATACCTCCAGTGGGTTTTAGAAGGGAGGAGGCAAGAGCGCCTTTCTCATAAAGATGAAGAAAGAGTAGTTTTTAATGGGACATCCAGCCAGCTCAAAATACCAACATTATTTGCTTGTTTGAGCAGAAGTTCATCTAGAATGCTTTAATTTCGATTCTTTCACTCAACAGGTAAATCCATCTCCATCATTCTGAGGCTGTGGAGAGCCCATGAGTCTAACTGGAAAGCCAGCATAGCATATGCCCACTCACCAAAGTCAATGTGGTTGTGGTTTGTTAAAAATTCAGGGAGATAAAAGAATTCAGGTATCAGTTCCCGGACATCCGTCATGTTGTCTCTTGAGGCTGACTCCCAAGTGTTCCTTATGCTGTGGAACATGCGGTCTGCAACGTCCAGGTCCCCTCCCTGTTGAGAGGAGGAGGAGGAGGAGAGAAGCCATGCCACCATCCAGAGCCTTAGGCCACAGCCTAAAGGAAATCAACAGCCACCAGAATTGCAAGCTGTGATTATGACAAAACATTTCAAAATGCTTTGAAGTGTTAGACGAAGTGTTCTGGAATGTTTGGACATCAGCATGCAAGGCACATTTGGAGGAAAAGGAGTGAAGCATGTGGAGAAACAAATTCCTTGCTAACCATTAATCATGAAGGCATTTCTACTGTGCTTCCGGGGAGAGTGTGGCGGTGCTGAAGTGCAGAGAAAATACTCTACAGGCGAAAGCAAGGGTGGCTTCACTAAGTTTCAACATAACCTCAAAGCTAATATTTCCTCAGCAAAGAAACCGAAGCTGAAAAGAGTTTGGATGTTTCAAGAACTCTGCAGGAAATGCTTTCCAGGAAAGAAGGGGAAAGCGCTCGGAAGGGATTTCAGAGTCCCCAGACCTGAGCACGGATCTCAAAGAGGCACTGTAACAGGCAGGGAACTGGAGTAACATTTCCGAGAGAGAAGAGTTTTGCAAGGAGGACTCTTAGCTGAGCAGAGGAAACATTTACATGCTGTTATTTGTTCTAGAAGAATGATACGAAGTATTGACCAGAAGGTGGTTCAGATTGTTGCACCTTCCATATTCATTGTTTCTGTTGGGTAGCAGGTGCAGACAGGGGACAGGGGACACAGGACACGTCCGGCAGCTCAACCGCTTTACTCAGCTCCAGTAACAGCAATGCCAATGCGAGCTGCCGCAGCCCTTTTTAAACCGGAGCTGTCCACGGCTTCAGCAAAGAACCCTGGTGGTGCAGCAGACTAAAGCACTGTTATTAACATCAGCTACCAATTACTGCAAGTTGAAATCTCACCAGGCTCAAGGTTGACTCAGCCTTCCATCCTTTCTAACGTAGGTAAAATGAGGACCCGTATTGTGGGGGCAATAAACTGACTTTGTATAAAAATATACAAAAGAATGAAGGCTATTGCTTAACGCATTGTAAGCCGCCTTGAGTCTCCGGAGAAGGGCGGCATATAAATCAAATTAAAAAAAAAACCAAAAAAACCCCCTGACGTGCACTTAATTTTCCGTCTTTAACTACTGGCTCCTGATTGGTCCCTGTGCCCGTCTATTCAAAACATCCCTCCCCTCTAGGCTGGTACCAACCAATCAGGTTCTTTTTAGATAATGTAATCACGCAAGTAGGCGGGTCGCTTTTGGGTGCAACTTGACTTGCGCAGTTCGTTGACTCTGTGATTTCGCAGCGAGAGGTTGGGTTCTGTGTCTCTCCGGTAGGCACTCCTGGAATTCTCTCAAACTTGGCCAATATCTTTTTGGATATTTATTTCTTCATTCCCCTGTTGGACTGGTGGACTGTTTCCGACGTCGGGAACTTGTCATTGGACATCAGATAAGTGCCCGCCGACTCTATTCGGGTTTGAGTGTTGTTGTGCATTTGGTTGTGTATTGTGTAGGGCCTGGTCTATTTCTGTGATTTCTGTGTGGTGTTTCCTCTCTCACTCCTGGGTTTCCTCTTGTGTCTCGTGTTCCTTTCTAACTATTTGGCCTCTGAGTTGGTCTATGTGTCTTTTCCACCCTTGGCCATCCTCTGTTTCTATTCTGTATGATAACGGGCCTGTGATTTGGATTATTTTTGCCAGAACCCATAGGGGATTTCCGCTGAAATTCTTCGCATACACCTTATCCCCCACTTGGAACTGTCTATATTTACTAGTGGAGTCTACTGGGTTTTCTGCATTGTATTTGAGGTGTAGTCTGTCTAAATTGGATCTCAGCTTCCTCCCCATCAATAGTTCTCTGGGGTTTCTGTGCATGGTTGCACTGGGAGTTATGTGTTGAATGCTTAATAATTTGTCTATTTTTGCTTGGATGTTCCCTGGGCCCATCTTAGCTAGTGTTTCCTTTGTTGTTTTCACCATCCATTCCGCTTGTCCATTAGTGGATGGCTTCCCCAGCGCGGATAGTGCATGTCTAATCCCTTGACTAGCTAGGAACATTTCAAATTGATTAGCGGTAAATTGTGGCCCATTATCGGAGACTACTAAGTCGGGCAACCCATGTGTTGTGAACCGTCTCCCGTAGGACTCGGATGACCGCTTCTGTTGTTGTTGATGACATGAGATTTACTTCTAGCCATTTAGAGTATGCATCGACAGTGATTAAAAATGTGTTTCCCTGGCAGGGTCCCGCAAAATCAATGTGTATGCGGGATCATGGTGTCCTAGGGTTTTCCCAATCATGTGTGGGTGTGGTGTCGGGTGAGATTCTTGGCAGGGTGTGCACGTCACTACCCATTTTTTTATTTCCTTGTCCATTCCCAGCCACCAGACATAACTTCTAGCTAACACCTTCATTTTAACTATCCCTGGGTGTCCCTCGTGTAACATTTCCAGAATATCATTTCTCAACATTTTTGGAATGATTACTTTATCTCCCCACAACAAACACCCTCTCAATCCCGATAGCTCAGTCTGTCATGTCTTTAATGGTTTGAATTCCTCGTCTACTCCTGTCTCTGGCCACCCTTTCCATACCCAATTCAAAACCCGCACCAAAGCCTTGTCTCTTCCTGTTGCTCTCGTGATGTCTGTGGCTGTGATCTGTGTGTTCGTGAGAGTCTCTATCAACAATGTGATTGTGGATGGCGCTGGGTCTTCCACCAGTTCCGGCAGCGGGCATCTACTGAGGGCATCTGCGTGGTCAATCATCTTTCCCGGTCTGTATAGCAGCTGGTAATTATAAGCAGCGAGGAATTCTGTCCATCTCAGCATTCGTGGAGATAACATGTGGGGTGTAGGTCTATCTCCCGCAATGATTCCCAGGAGTGGGTTATGCTCTGTTATCAGCTTGAACTTCCTCCAGTAGAGATATTTGTGGAATCTTTTGATTGCAGCCACTGCAGCTAGTGCTTCTTTGTCGAGCTGACTGTAATTCTTTTCCAATTTGGATTGGGTCCAAGAGTAGAAAGCAATGGGGGCTTCTCTTCCGTTGGGCATGCAATGGCTTAAGATTGCTCCTATTCCAAACGGTGACACGCCACAGGTTAGTCTCACTGGTAATGTTTCACTATACTGTATTAGGATGCTGTCTGATGTTAGCAGTCTTTTGATTTGTTCGAAAGCATTCACTTCCTTACGTCCCCAAGTCCAGTCCGTCTTTTTATCCAGTAGACGGTGTAAAGGTTCAGCAATCGTAGCTTTCTGCAGCAGGAAAATGTTGTAGAAATTTGATAACTCCAGGAATGCCTGCAGTTCTATTCTATTGGTTGGGGTTGGGGCTTCTTGAATTGCTTTTAGCTTGCCCATGGTGGGTCGCATTCCAGAACCGTCAATCGGGTATCCCAAAAATTCAACCTTTTCCACTGCTAACTGGCATTTGTCTTTTTTTACTTTCAACCCCACTTCCTGGAATCGAGTTAATACTGTCCTTAGTCGTTGCTACAGTTGTTCCTGACTAATGGCTGATATTAGGACATCATCGAAATAGGGGACAACTCCTTCAGTTCCCTGTAGGATGCGCTCCATGAGGTTCTGGAACAGCCCTGGGGCCACGCTTACCCCAAATTGCAATTGCCTGCATTTGAATACTCCCCTATGTGTAACTATTGTTTGTGCCTCTGCTGTGGCGTCATCAACTGGCAGCTGTTGGTACGCCTGAGCCAAATCGAGTTTTGCTAATATTTTTCCTCTACCCAGAGAATGCAATAGATGTTGCACGAAGGGCACAGTGTATGTGCTCTGCTGTAAAGCCTTATTCAGGGTACTTTTATAGTCACCACACAAACGCACTGACCCATCTGGCTTTGTGGGAGTTAATATCGGTGTCTCCCACTTGGCATGGTCTGTCGACTCTAAAACCCCTTGGGCAACGAGTTTATCCAGTTGCTCATCAATTTTGGGCTGTAGAGCAAATGGAACCCTTCTAGGCTTTATTCAGACAGGGGTAACTTGGGGATCTAGGTTATATGAGATGGGGGTCCCTGTGTACTTGCCTAGTTTTCGATCGAAGATGTCTGCGAAATCCCTTAGGAGTTCTCTTCCCAGCTGTTGTCTTCGAGTTGGTTGATCCCTGTCACTGCCAGATTCATAGGCTCGAACCATTCCAGCCCCAGTAGGCTAGGCCTCTCCTGATCTACTATGGTTAAGGGTAGTTGTCCTCTTTGAACTCTACGTTGAAATAACTGATTCCCATTACTGGATTTTGGTTTCCTTGGTAGTCCTTAAGCGTGAGTCTCTGTGGCTTGAGTGAGCTGGCTGTGATTCTGGGGACTAGTTGTTTGATGGTTGTCCAGGAGACCATGGAAAGGTAGGATCCTGAGTCGATCTCCATCTTGCATGGTCTCCCTTCTATGGAAACGGTCACCGCCATCTTTTTTGCTTTTCCCGCACTCAAGTGGCCAACTATTATGGACTGGTGTGTTTCCCCTCTCTCTGAACCATGGTCCTCATTTCGGCAGTTTCTTCCAAATAGTTGTTTTCTGTTGCTTGTTTGGAAGCTCCTGGCTCATGGTGGAGGACTGGATTGTCTGGGTCTGCAGGAAACTGGTTGTGATGCTCTGCAGGCTCTTGCAATGTGTCCTTTCCGGTTGCAGCGCTGGCAAATCGCATCTCTGAATCTACACTTGCTCCGGGGATGGTTTCCCTTGCATTCAGCACATCAAAATTCCTTTTTTCCTTTTTCTTGGTGTCTCCCTTTCTGTTCCAAATGGAGATGATGTATGTCCTCTTCTCCGTCCTCGGATTTAGTCTCCACATCCTCATATGGATTGTGGAATTCCTTTGCTTGCGGCCCCTTATTCATCTTTTTCATTATGGCTGTGGACTTTTATGATGCTTTGGTCGCAGTCGCTTCCTCCATGGCTTCTTGGAATGTTATTCTTGGTTTCACAAGGAATTGACTTTGTAGGGTGAGGTCTCGCAGTCCCAATACCAATTGGTCTGTCACTGCTTTGTCCAGGTTGGAGAATTCACAGGCGGTGGCTATCTCACACAGGGTCGCAATGAACTTGCTAATGGACCTTCCCTCCCTTTGGTCTCTCCTGTAGAATTCATGTTGTTTCACGAGGGATAAGGCTTGGGGAGTGTAGTGTACCCTCAGGATTCCTTGTAGCGCCAGCCAGGTCATGGTTCTCAATTCCGCCAGAGATGCTAGGGCTTTTGCCATTTTAAAAACGGCAGCTCCGCAGTGTGTGAGGAACAATGCTCTTTTCCTTTGTTCAGAAAGACTCAAAAGGTCGTTAGCTTCCAAGAACATGTGGAAACATTCCATATAGGAATCCGAGTCTTCTCCCGCCGGATTGAATGGCGGGGTGGAATTATTGAAGACATCTTATGTTGGCCGGTTGTAGTTTCGATGGCCGTTGGTTGCCACGTCTGTGTTAGTCTGTGCAGCCTAATGTCCTATTGTCCTTCTGAAGATCCCACCTTTGTTGCCAGTGTTGGATAGTAGGTGCAGACAGGGGACACGGGACACAGGACACGTCCAGCAGTTCAACAGCTCTATTCAGCTCCAGTAACAGCAATGCCAAAGCGAGCCGCGGCAGCCCTTTTTAAACCGGAGCTGTCCACGGCTTCAGCCACTGACACACGCTTAATTTTCCCGCTCTAACTACTGGCTCCTGATTGGTCCCTGTACCCATCTATTCAATACTCAATAGTTTCATTATTTTGAATCTGTAAACAATTGCAGGCTCCCACAGTGAGGATGCTTTCAAATTTTCAGAGATGGGCCATCTTTAACTTTGTTCAGGCAGAAGGTTGTTGCACCGGCTTAAGGATTTCTTGAAACTTACAGTCTCATCAGTGATGCCAAAGCATTTGCATGTAACTGCGCTCCCTCCAAAGTGAAGCAAATCATGTTCCCAGTGCGCTCTTCTGGAAAGCCACAGGGGGAGTTATCCCCCCAAAGTAAGGATCAGCCTCCTTCTCCCTTGTGAGGTAAATCTACGCTGGTGGGATTGTGCAAGGGCAAGGCACCGTGAGCAGATCAGTGGGGCTGTTGCAGAGTTGATCCCTCGGAGGCAGCCTCAGCAGCCCCCAGGGGTATTTTCTAGTCGAAACTGCAGTGACTCCAAAGACAAGTCAACTCTGCAGAAAGTGCCAGCTAACGAGTCTCTCTCCGAAAGCCCCTCGGAGCCCTCTGGCTTTGATCTGCATATATACGACACTGTGGTCAGAATATGTGACTGACACGTTTTCATCTGCTTTTTCCGTTTTTATGAGAGCGGATGGTAATCTCTAGAGAGACAATGTGATTTGTAATAAAAAGGTTATCTGTATTAAATAAAAATAATATCTACATAGAAAATGTTGTTAGCGCTTCAAATCTGGTTAAAGATATTACCATCCAGAAAAATGTAATTTTTTGCAGCTGTCTAATGTATTTTGGAAAAAGTAATATCTCTAAAACGCACGCCTGTATTATTTATAAAGGAAGCAATAACTGATTTGCAGTATTTCTTATATTAATAACTATATTTGCATACATTGGTATCAGAATTAGTGAGCTTGCTTTCTTTCTCTCAGAATGCAAGGATTCCACAGGAAAGGAGGGGGCTATGAAGGCTTTTAGCCCACGCAGGAACATCATCCCCCCCCCAGCTCTTCTCTGGGCTCCTGGGAGCTCAGTTTGTTCTCTGAACCTGCATAACCCAGAGCAGGCAAAGATTCTGACTGCTTGCTAAAGGGGAAACCTGACATATTTTCATGCGTACAGCTGGATAAAGCTCCCTTCCAGGGATTTAGCACTTCACTGTGGATTATGAAACTCGGAATATTCTCCAGCCTAGAGAATTGATCTTACAATGCATGAACCTTCCTGTTTGCTTCATCTGCAACTCTCACCTCTCCTACAATCCATTTCTGTTTTCTTTCTGCCTGACACGGTTTTGAATGCCTTAAAATATTTTTTTTTTTACTTTTTTCTATAACAATAATAGAAATCGAAGGCTTTTTCTTCAGTTCATGTTATTGTATAATGTCTCTTTGTTAGACAAATCTGTCTCTATGACTAGGAGGGATTTGCAGCTCAAGGTCACCGATTCCTTTCATGTCTTTCGTCCTGCGACTTGCGCCCTGCCTCTGTGTGCACCGATGGTCTCGCTTCACACTTCAAGTATAATGAAGTATATTTAACAATAGTGCTTTATTCATAAAATAGTTTCATATTTCTCCTATTAGTTTAAGCATCACTGGGTTTTTTCAAGGATTCTTTTCTTGCATTTATAATGCTGGAGTGAACTATCCCTTTTATTTATTTAGTTTTTAAAAGCATTAACCCTCTTAACTGTACAGAAATGAAATGCTGCCAGATGACCACACCAGTAACGATTACCAACTGAAATTGACACAAGAGTTTGCCTGACCTTGACCTTGGCTCCTTCAGAAGACCCAGATCAAAGGAAGGGCTGGGCTCTCTGCAAGTGAGGGATGAAGGGTCCTCCCAGGTCCTCCCCTGTTTCTGTTCGGCTAACCCTCATGATGGTCCCCCTCATCATTCCTGCCTGTTGCTGAAGCAGCTAACCTTCATTCTTAAATTGTCTGTAGTTCTTTACATTTTGATTTCCTTTTCCTTTCCTGATGCCATGATCTGGTTGATGGGGGTGGGGGGCTGCCCTCTTCCTTTCATTGGCTATTTTGGCAATGAAAATGGGACCCCTGACTTCCACAGAGACTCCTGCATTTTCTTTTGAAAGAGCACTAGACTGACTTTTCAAAGTCCTGCACTGCACGGAAGGTGAATATAATCTAATTCCTGTTCAGTTGCTTTAAGGTACATTATAGGCTGTTTTGTGTTTTGTGCATTATATTTTTACTGGTAGGCAACAGAAAAAAGATGAAAGAAAGAAAGGAGGTAGTGGGGGGAGGAGCAGAGAAATTAAGAGTTAATTGGTGCCTTGGTGGCACAGGAGACTAAAGCACTGTTAAGTAACACCAGCTGCCTGCAATTACTGCAAGTTCAAATCTCACCAGGCTCAAGGTTGACTCAGCCTTCCATCCTTTCGAGGTAGGTAAAATGAGGACCTGGTTTGTGGGGGCAATAAGCTGACTTTGTATAAAAAAGAACACCGCTGGGGTGGGGGGGGCTAAAGCCCTACTAAGCAGGTATATACAAAAAGTATGAAGGCTATTGCTTAACGCATTGTAAGCCGCCCTGAGTCTCCGGAAAAGGGTGGCATATAAATCCAACCAATCAATCAATCAATCAATCAATCAATCAATCAATCAATCAATCAATCAATCAATAAGACTGAATAACTGTTAGATGAATCCCTCTCCTGCTGTGCTGCTGGGTTCTCCACTAACTTACAAGGCAACCCTTAGACATGACTCTTCCACAAGGTTTCCAAATTTCTTTATGTTTGCACAGTTCCTTGCAGACCTCTCTGCTACGCTTCTCCATTTCCTGCCGGAAACAGTTCAGGGCAGAGTCCCAAGGGAGGGCCTCGGGCAGCTCAGAAGCTCCAGATCTAACCAGAGCCTTTGCCACGGGTGCCGCCACCCGTGTTTGGTAGACTCCACCCAAGTTCAGCCCACCTGCAAAGATTGGAAGGTTTCCGTGAAGGGCTCCAGGCGAACCAGATAGGAAGCCACAATCATGGCGGAGGAGTAGTGGGTGAAGTAGTGACTCTGAGCTGAGAGGTTACCTACAAACAGGAAAAATGCGCAGTTTATGGACTTCATTTCTGGATAAATCAATTTGTTTTGATTTCTTCAAAATCAGATGATCCCTGAAATGTCTAATAATGTGTCTTACCAAGCCATGTTTCATACACATCTTTAACTAAAGCAAGCCTCTGATCAGGGCCAACGCATGACTCAGGAAGATGCTAGACAAGTCAGTTCTAATGAGCTTTGCTTGCTCATGCCATCCCCCCACCCCCCAATTCTACCCAGCTCCTAAAATTCTCCCCTCGGTTTTGTGGAGACAACCTTTGTGCTGCTTCCACAGTTTTGTTCTAAACTTTCTTGCCAAAAAGAGGGGGGGGATTTGGGGTACACCATGGTGATGCTGGAAATGAGATTTGTACCTTCGGTCTTCTCCACTTCTTTGAAGCGCTGGATGAATTTCTTTTTCCTCCCCTCCGTCTGTGCCCCCATGGGCTTGGAGAGGTCACGGAAGGTGCTTGGATTGGTCAGGTCTAGAGTCTGGAACACAAATGCAACTTCCCTTGACTTACTGGCCCCCTGTGTCAAGAATTCCAGGGGCTGAGCTGCCATGCTTCCTATGGACTTCGATGTGCTTTCTCTTTCAAGAAAGCTCCAGTCCAGCCTAATGGAGAAATGGCTCACCTGGGAATGGTAGTCTGCAAGGACCCACGGAAACACTGGGTACTGCATGAGGTCGCTGTGCGTCCGTCCCGCCAGAGAATTCAGGTACATGAGGTACTCAAAGTTGCTGATCTCTCTCCTCTGCCAGATCATGAAAAGAGGGATGATGGGCTCAGTTGCTGGGCTGCCTCCCATAAAATGAATGTATCAGTTACCTCATTTTCTAAATATATTTTCCCAGGACGGCTAGTTACTCTAGTTTTCTTTTGTGCCTTTTTCTATGGATGCCTGTAGTCAAGTTTGGGAAGAAAAGCAACCTCCCTCATTCCACTCTAATGAAACTTCCTGCGCTGGATGCCCACCCCAGCCCCGATGAATGGAAGGGACTGGCACCCATGGCTAAGCGTAGAAGAATACATGCGGGATAGCATCTCTTATTGCTCTTTGGAGGCCAAGGTCCCAAACTCCTTGGTTGATACTTTTCCGTACATTCTCATAACCCATCATCTATAAGTCAGGTATAAAATGGTGGCTTTTACTCTCTCTCTCTCTCTCTCTCTCTCTCCCTCTTTTTAAGTATGATCATCAGAAGCCTCAGTCTTTGGGTATATAGTCCATAGGGTGAAAGAGGGCTATAAGAAGAGGAGCTTGCAATTTTGTGCGAGCTTCCAACAGTTTTCCTGATTCCAGCTGGGAAATAGGCTGAACTATCTCTGAGGATGCGAGAGGGGGCCGTTCTGGTAATAGGTTCGATTAGGAGCTTATTTCCAGAAGCTGCTGCAAAGATGGAACTCAAATATTTCTCCCAAACGTCTGCTAAAATTCCACAGTCGACTGTGGGTCCATTGTGTAACAAACCCTCTTCTAATCCAATGCCAATAATCAGCAGAAGTTTTCAACATAACAGCTGATATGATTTGCTATCAATTCTCTCTCAGGATGTTCATCTTTTTATTTCTAACGAAGGCTTTATGTTCTATTTTCTGCTGGCACAATGTTTGTGGAACGGGGCGGCCCCACCGCACCCACCGAGTGCCTTGCAGCTGGGCTTTTTTGTCTTCCTGCATTCAAGATCAAACCAATATTTAGAGTTGAGACGTCTGCAACACTGTGCCTTGATGCCACTGTGCCAATGTGGCCTTGATATAGGATCACATGGGGTTTGAATCAGTATCCAGAATTGCTCATCAGCTATTTCTGATCCATCGGCTAATATTGTTGCTAACTTAACTTGGTGAAACCTGAATCTAGTCAACTAAACTTCCGTCCTGCCCAAGGAAGACCACCAAAGCCTTGGATGGCCCTTTTCTACCAAATAAAGCTGGATTTGAATCAACTGGTTGAAAGTTCAAGTTTGGAGCTTGAAGATGGCATCAGACTTTAAACACATCTACTGAATAAATTGCTTGCATCAGAATACAATGTAATCTGATGGCTATGTTAATCTCCATTTGTTCATTTTGAATCATTTCTCTAGTCTGTTTGCCATTTGGGCAAAGCATAGCCCTCCTGTATATCACAAAACTCATCTTTTGATTCCAACCCAGAGTATAATTATCCCCAACACTCACCATCCAATGATATACTATCAGAGCGTACATGCAGCCTAGTGCCGTTTGAACTCACTGAAGCATTGAAGTCTCCTGCTATGAGAGCAGATGCTTCTGAATAAGCTCCCCCCTCCCCCACCAAATAGGTCTTTCCATCGTTCCAAGTTATCCCAAGGTAATTTTGCCTTAGTTGTTAGCCATGGCAGAAGAGTGCAGATATTCACAACCAGAAAGTATTTAATATGAATATGATTAATTAGAAACAAATTGGCTCAGGACTGTATTCCAACAAGGAAAACTTTGTTCGGGACAAAGATTTTTGGGATATCCCGTTGGCCAAATTCATGGGTGCTGGAAGTACCGTGTTTTCCCGAAAATAAGACCCTGTCTTATATTTTTTTTGAACCCTGAAATAAGCACTTGGCCTTAGTGCCATGCACTCAAAAGTCCAATTGGGCTTATTATCAGGGGAGGTCTTATTTTGGGGAAAACAGGGTAGCTTCAAGCCCAGGAGAGACAGAGCCATTTAATTTGAATGTTGCTCAGGACTTTTGATACGAGAGTAGGCAGCACCCTGTATCTGGCCGGAGAGCAGTTTCTAACCAGCAGGTAAAGATTTTAGGACCGCTCTCACACCCTCCTCCATCTCCTCCTCCTGCTAGCCAGGCCCAGAGGGCTCCCGAGCTTGCTTCCTGGTTTTCCATAAAAAAGTCTTCATTACGAGGCCTATAGAGAAACGGCACCATCCTTCCTGGCTCAGATGTAGATACTGAAGCACTTTTTATAAAGTTCTGTCTCTATAGAACACTCAACTGTGAAGAAAATAATCTTTAAAAATTAATTGACAATGGATTGATTGATTGATTTCAGTGGAACAGCACCAAGAAAAGATTTTACCTGCCACTTCAACAGGAAGGACTTTTTTTCCCCTGATTGTTTTCTGTAAAAAAACAAAAACAAAAAACATTGTGTCACTCACATTTCCTTTTCTAATGGGACCAACAACCAATTTGTGCAAATCGACCTTGATTTCATTGGACATCTGGTATTCAAAGAAGGCCTGATCCAGTTTGGGTCTGAAATCTGGATGCAAACTTGGTCAGTTTAAGCCCCACTCTCTACCAGCACTGCTGATGTGGCCTAGTTGGGTCATGAAAGGTTTGCAAGAAAACCAACCTCTCAGTTCAACCCTGAGCTACAAATGTTCTCCTCTATCAAGAATGTTGCAGTAAATCCATTGCAGTCATGTGATGTCATGCTTAAGGACCTTAGCAGCAGAATGGCCAGTCCTAATTGTGGTCATTAAGGGAGGATTCCCTATGAATCTATGCAGTACAAATGGGGGAGAAGTGGGGGGGAGGGGTTTGGGTTTGGCAATGGTATGCGTGGAAAGGCTTTTCCATCCTCAGGTACATGAGAGTCAGCAGCGTGGCGTGGCATCAAACAGGTCAATGCCTACAAGAATGTCACCACTTTTTCAGAGGGTGGGGGCTCACTGGGAGGGGTCCTAGCAGAAGCCAGATAGCCACGGATGGAAGTAATTTCATTCACCTCCCTACCCTGAGCCAGTGGCCCTCCTGTGGCTCTTTGCTTGTATGGAAGGCAAAGGACCACGCTTGCTGCACTTCTTGGCTCTCTACCAGAGAAGGCGCCTTCTTCTGCTGCGTCACTGCTGTCAGAGCAGCGCAATATCTCACAGCTGTGGTGGAGCTTCTTGTAGGCCGCTCTGGAACAGCTGCAGCACCAATTCGCCAGTCCAGTTCTCTGAATAGGCATGGGCTGACTTCCCAGGCCCGGCAGGTGGAGCTGGCGTTGGAAACGAGGCCCGTGTTGTGTGATCTCCAAGGGCTTGGAATTTCCTGTCGCTTAGATACCAAGTTTCACAGGCGGCATCACAACAGCTGACTACAATATCACAGGAACCGGGTAAGTCACCCTCTCTTGAAGCAAGCAGGTTGCCAGTTGTTTAAAATTGTGGTTTTGGTTTTAGAATTTGCGGGCCAGCAAAAATCAGATGAGAGTTTTCCATGCAGTTCAAAGATTTATCTCCAAACATTGGCAGAGAAAGTCCCCATTAATCAGAGAAGATTCCTGGAAAAATGGGTTTGCCAAGAAAGCATGAGGCCAGGCCCACTAATATTAACTTAGCTGGCGTGCAATTCCATTAAATGTTATGTAGTTTCTTTTTTAAAAAAAATACTTGTTTTATTGTTGATTCTCTGTGTACAGTAGAATTTACAAGTCCGGATTGGAAACTGCAGACTCCATTTAATTTAAAGCAGCTTGTTATTAGGAAGTAAAGCTACATAAGTAAAGTTTTTCAGCTATATCATAGTCTATCAGATGCAGCCATCTTGCAAGGGATGGTGGGAGGTTGATCTCACTCTTGGGTCAGGCAGGTGCACTCAATGGGCTGTAATCCTTCTTGATTATCATGATGTGTGGAAGTTTTGCTCACAGCTGTGTCCCCCTAGGAAAGCCGCTCTGAAGCCTTTCTTGGCCACTCTGGTTCAAACTTGATGCATTTCCCTCGTCAAGAAGAAAGAAAAATTTGCCAGCTCCTGGAGACAAGAGTTCTCCAGGCCTTAGGATTTGACAGCCCACATGTGGCCTTGAGGGAAAGTACCTGGCTGCACGCTGGCTTAGGGATTCTAGCATTTAAAGGAACACCAAGTCTACAAAGGAGAGATTCCAAGTATTTTATTGTCCAATTCAGAAATCTTGCTTTTGGAAAGCATCTTGACTCTTTTGACCTCAGCCACAGGGTGCGTGGCACACCTCCTCCATTCCTCCTCCCGGTGGTTTCCTCCTAATCTACATCTGCCAAACACACTAAGCAGCCCTGAGACAGGAGGTGGATTAATTCTTACCCCCTTTGCTCATCTTATTCATTTTGATTAAAAAGTGAGTGATTAAAAGACCATAGCAGATTTCAGACAAAGTGGGGCACTTGTAAAAAGATTTTCTAATACTTATAAAACACTTGCTCCTCAGTAAAGTCAGGAAGAGCCATCTCCTGGCCAGAATGTGACCCAAGAATGCCCTCGCCACCTCTCTACTTCCTCTGAATAAATTTGGGGGTGAAGGGAGGAACCTGGCCCAGACACACGCACACACACACCGCCATATGAGTTGTTCAAATGGGTTATTGAGACAAACTGGAAGTCACCGCTTCCCTCTGATCTCCCTGGATGTCCCTGGATTCGTACATGATTAATGAGTAGCCGAAAAGCCTGAAGCGCTTGTAATGAAAGCCTTCTAATGGAGAAGTGTGTTCTAAACAAATCTACATTCTTTTACAAACAATCATTTATCAAAACAGTGATTTGCCTCCTCACAATTAAATGCGCGGGGGTGGGGGGGTGGGGGGGTGGGGAGCTTGGATCAGTTGGGGCTAAGCCAACCGGAACCTCCTGGGCTCTTGCAAACAGCCGGCAGCCATCCCTGCGCTTCCTGGCCTTTTGTCCCGGGGGGGATGGAGGGGGAGGGGGGCTGCTTCTTGAAACCTGTTCTGCCCTCGGAGCCCCCAAGAGCCCTGCCCGCCTCCAGGAGCCAGGCTGAGGGCCGAGCGAGCACAAGGCATCCTGGCATTCAGTGGGCGAAGGCAGAGAGAGCAGCCTTGGGAGGAAGAGGGATGGGGGGGGGGACAGCTGTCATGAGAACAAGCAAGGGGAGGGGGGCATACAGGGAGTCCTTGCCTTATGGCGGCAATTGGGATCGCTAAGCAATGCAGTCACAAAGCAGGACATCACATGACCGAATTGCTTAGCGACAGAAATCCCAGCAAGCAGCCTGGCTCATCCTCATGCGGGAGGCTGTGGGAGCCCCAGGTAAGGAGAATGAGGGGGCTGTGGGGGGATTAGGATTAGGGCATCCTCCTCCGAGTACTTTTTCCGAATCCTTCATCGAGGGTATCGCCCACAGCAGGACAGCTTAGTCAAGGAGAGGCAGAGGAGATGACGCCCCTGGTGATGCATTGTGAGGTGGCTGCCTGTGAGGTTTGCCAGCACTGGCCAACGACCTCACAAATGCTTCCTTCCGATGCCCTCCCCAGGCACAAATATCGGGGGCAGGCTGGGGGACCCCGGAGGACCAGGTAGGTGCTGCTGATGCCACTACCAGGGAGAGGCGTGGCAAGGAATTAGCCGAGCCAGAAGTAGTCAAAGTGCCCCACCCTCTCCTCCTCCTCCTCTTCCTCCTCCTCTTGGGATACCCACACCTGCTTCATGTTTGCTGTTATCCTAATACCATACCTAGCAAGTCTCCAAGTCTGGTGATTTTCATCCCATAGCAAGCCTTCACAAGACACATCCCAGTTTCTGGGGCCATAAAATCTGGCAGCAGTTTCACCTGTTCCTCACCAGGGATCAGGCCAGGGACCCTGGGCCACCTGAAGGGGAGAGGAGACGGGGAGCCCCTCTGAGCAGGAAAACCTCTCCCTCCCACGACCCCTGGCGCAGGCCCAGCTCTAGTCTCCCCAGGACTAGAAGGTGGGTGAGAAGGAATGCCCGGCGAGTCCCAGGGGTCTCGGATGGACGAGGAAGCCAAACGTGACCAGAAGGGGGCAATGCCAAACCACTTCGATCACGTTTTGAGAAAATAGCATAATTTGTGATGATGTCACTAGGATACAAGTCTCAATTTGAAGGAATCCTTATTTTGACCCAGCAAAACTGTCACATAAACTTTGAACAAGATCTAGTATGTTTCTCAAGAAGAATCCTTGAAAACCTTGAAGCTTCGAGCTCTGCTCCCCAAGTCAGAGGTGGGTTTCAGCAGGTTCTGACCAGTTCTGGAGAACCAGTAGTGGAAATTTTGAATAGTTCAGAGAACCGGTAGTAAAAATTCTGACTGGCCCCACCCCCATCTATTCTCTGCCTCCCAAGTCCCAGCTGATCAGGAGGAAATGGGGATTTTGCAGTATCCTTCCCCTGCCATGCCCACCAAGCCATGCCATCACCCCCGAATTGCTGTGGTGTATACAGGAGGAATATAAAATAAAGAATGATTGACACCTACGTGAGCCAGTACTTTTCCTTTCTGTGGAAAATGTATGCAGTCCCACTGAATTTGTCTAATGAAAGGAGCATATAATGTTTTCCTCAAATGTTTGGTATAAACATACCAAACTGGCTAGCTCTTTTTTTGCTACAATTAAAAAAAAAATCCTTTTATTGGCTGGCTATAATCCATGGGTTCAGTTGAGAGCAGTTCTACTTGTTGCTTTAATCACAGAGATTAAGCATGAAAACATCTGATATTAAAGTATTTCAGAGGACTGTCTATCATGTGCAAATTAGTGTCATTGAAAAGTAATTATTTGAATACGATTTTAATTCATATATTGTTAGGTACAAATTGCCTTCCTTTGCTGTAGTCAGTGAATGAACCTTATAAATTATAAATCTTACCTTCCTGAGGCTGTACAGCAGTGGTGGGTTGACCCCAGTTCGCACCAGTTCTATAGAAAAACTAGCGTAGTAAAACCAGCGGGAGGCCCCACTCACCGACCCCGATGTCACCAAAACGCTTCTGCACATGCGTAGCCCCACTGCAAACCGGTAGTAAAGGTAAGTAGAACCCACCCCTGTTGTACAGCCATTGTAATTCCATGTCCAAACAGTTCCAAGCTAGAACAGTTAAAACCACAGGCTCTGCTAGCGGCTGTACAACCTTTGTTTCATTTAAGACTCCTTAGAATAAAAGAATATTATTCTAATTCTATGACAATCCAAGCTTTGAAATGATAAACACTTTCCGATTAAGATCACTGCAGCAACTCTTTTGAAACACTAATATATATCCATGCATAATATATTTTCAAAGTGTCCGGGAACCTAGTAACAAGGTAGATTTGAAAGTTGCTTTATAGATGATATTTGCTTCCCTAAGCTTGCCTAGTTCTGAGGAAAACTATGTACACAGATGACAGAACATGTA